CCCCTCCTTCCCCTTCTCATCCCCCACCCTAAGTCAGATACCCCCAGTTTCCTGTTTTTCAAGACAATCCTTAACCCAACTTAACTTTCTCTCGCAGATTTTTGCTTCATACAGCAACATTTTAGGCATTTTCAGCCACAGAAAACAGCCTATGTTATTGCTGCCTTCACATCCTTTCCTCTTCCACGTCCACAGTAGTGCATGCTTGTGTCTTGTGCATTATCAGCTGTTGTATCTGGACTTTTTGCTTCAGTTTTGTTTTCTTGTTAATTTTCTCTCAGTCCTTTCTTTTTGCCATTTCTCTCCAAGTATGGCAAATTTCTCAACGTTTGACCACCTTCCCAAATCCCTTTGCACAGAGTGTTTTGTTGTTGTTGTTGTTTTGGACTTCAGGGTCTTTCACAAAGCGATCTGTCAGGTGAACTTCCCAGTTTGTGATTTTTGGGGGCATCTCTCCAACTAACTGTTGGGTGGTCTAAGCAGCTGTGCTTTGGACATATTTCCATTAGGTTTGACTTATTTTTCTGTTGAACAAAGGTGTGTATCTCAGTAAGGTTTTATCTCCCTGGGCATTTAGTGAAGTTGTTGCATTGTGTGCATAGGTTGGTCTCACCTGCTCTCCATCCCAAGGTCTTCATCAATTGAAATTTCAGCAGTAATTCTGTCTGCTTTGGATTGGTAGGTACCTGTCTCCTAAATAATCAGAATAATCAGCTCCAAGCTCAGTGTTCTTTCAGACCCATTGAGTCAATCTGCATATTTTCCTGGCTCAACATTAAAGCAGAGAAGAAATCGATTAAGAAATCCCATTCTCATCGATAGGATTCTTTTGGAAAATAAACTCAGTGTTGAAACCAGACTTATTTTCCAAGATCATTCACTTCATATCCATATCCAAACTATTAACCTCCAACGTTTTAGCAGTCAGCCACAGCCATAGTCAGTCTGGCAAAAGGAACTTCCCCACCATAATTTCTCCAGAGATTTCATTGTCTAGTGTTGTACAGCACTGTGTCTTTCTTTATATAAAAAAAAGCAGTCTTGAGCAACAGTTCTCCAGACTTTCTGACTTTTCAGTCCAATCCTTGTATCTGGCTATTTTCAAAGGAATTTCATTTGTTCACTTAACACTGATCTATGAATCATTCAAGCAACAGATAACTCGAGGGATGAACCAGGGTTGTGTCTACACATCCCAGAAAACTTTAAAAAAGAACCAGTTTGAAATTGTATCTTCTGGCACGTCATTATTAGCAGCCCCTTTAAAAAAAACAACACCAATGAATAAACTCATTAACATTTGTTGCCATTTCTTTAGTTGAATACAGTGACTGTATAAAATGTTTTCTACAGTCATTGGCTGAATATATGAAAAATGCCAAACATAACACATTTCTGCACATAATTCTTGCCCCAATAATGTGATTTCCACAGAGCTAATAGATGGCATGGTTGTTCAGTATGTTGTAAAAAATTGATAAAAGTGGAGGACAAAAGAAGAGGCAGCAGGCCTAAAACAAAAAACAACAACTAAGGTGGATGAACAGCATCTGAAAAAAGATAAAGTCCCGTCATAGAACTTGAGAGATGCGTCTGTCCCTCCTGCTGATCCATCAACTGTTCACTGAAGCATTATCAAAAATGGTCTCAGTATAGGAGCGGCTGTCAAGTGACCATTTTAAGGAAAGAAAACATTCAGCCAAATTACACAAGAACTGGACTGAAAATCAGTGGGGTTTTGTTTCAAAGCTTCATTAATATTGATACTATAAAGAGGAAAGAGGTGCAATGTTTACTCCCATTTCTAAAATAAAGGGGAGGCTCTGATTAGGGCGACATTCAGCTTGTAAAGAAATTAATTACACACTTGCTTGTAATTAAAGACACAAAGGTGGTCATACCAAACGATGACTTTCAAGCTTGTTAGAAATACAGTATATAAGGCGATTCTATCTATATTTGTACTTTTCGATAAATCACTGCAGTCCTAGTAAAATATAAAACATGAGGGTTGGCTTAATACTTTTGCACAACACTGTATATGATTTTGTGCAGTGAACAGAGGTTTATTTACATTTTACTTGTGGCCTTGTGTATTATGAATGTATCAGGTGGTTGTGAATCAGTTATAAAATGATTCTGTATTTGGTTTTTCCTTCATATGAGGGTATAATATCTGACAGCAGAAAGTATATTTCAGTATCTTTTAATAAATTCTGCTGAGTGAAGCTTCGCTTCGCTGAAGCTAGCTGACTGTCTCACTCTTTCTCCTGTTTATACAGAAACATACTGTTATCGGTAGATTTCGCGTGTCAGATCTGTAACTTTTGGATAGCAGACTTCACTGTGGACACCGTGCTATTTATTATTCCATATTTTAATTATTTATTTAATTATTTATTTGGTCTAGTTCAATTTAATCACTCCAAGTGGGGACATTGGCAGTATATTATAACTGATTGGACCAAAACACGTACTATTTATATGGTTTACAAAGAATATAAAACTTATGCAAGAGAACCCCAGAAAAACTGAATGGCTCCTTAGTTTGGTGGAGAGCTAAAAGGGATGTTTGTTGTGTAGAGAGAGCTAAAATGCAAGGCTGGTTCTGTAAAGGGCACAGATTTGCAGTGTTGCTGCTGGCTACAGCCCACACTAGTTGTTTTTGTCATACAGAGTCTCGTCGTTCTTGTTTTTGCAGCAAGAATGTACTTTCCTGTTTTGGAGAAATTCTGCATCTGTAGCTAAGCAGACATGAACGGAAATCACAAATAAGTCATTTTAATCACCCCGACTTTGATCACTTGTGTGGAGAAGCATCCTGTCAGCTGTTAGGCATGTATGCACTATACTTCCACATTCGGATTTACCACAGAAACCATGTCCGTGGCCCCCACCCCCACTTCCTTTCTATCAAAAGAGATGATAAAATTTGAAAAATAATCTTGTGTAGAGTCTAAACTAAAAGACGACTGAAGTAGATTAAACAGGGTTTGTTATCTTTCTAAGAACAATATGTGTCTCTATCAAAGATATATGGTTTACTATTAGTTTTCTTTTATAGTATTTTATGTTTACATCGTTAAATACCTTTAATGAAATAGCCTTATTTGATTAACCCACAGATTATTTATTTTTTTTAATTTAAAGTAGACAAAAAAAAGGGGAACCAATCACATTTCCTGTTGATATTTGTGGTTAAGGTGATGCTGAAGCTGTAAGTCGCTTTCATGGCAAGGTGTTTCAACCTGTGCAGTCAGCATCCTGCTTGTTATGGCCCCTGGCCCTGGAAGAAGTGAGCCAGCCTTCCTTCAAGCAGATTCAGGTGTGGCAACCGCCACAGACAATTCACTGCCTGTGAACCTGTCGTTTGCACCTCCAGGGAAAATCTAAAGGACCAGCCGAGGGACGCCAGACCAATCAACAACTGATTGGGCACACTTGTGTCTTTAAAAGGCTGAAGCACATTCATTCAGGGGCTGCTGCTTTGAACTGAGTGTGCAGTCTGCCTTGTATGCTTCTGTCTGTGAGCCTTGGTTGTAAAACCCTGTCTCAAGTGTGAGATTGTGACTACTTTAAATAAAAAAACAAAAAAACAATCACATTTCCTGTTGATATTTGCGGTTAAGGTGATGCTGAAGCTGTAAGTAGCTTTTATAGCAAGGTGTTTCAACCTTTGCGGTCACCATCCTGCTTGTTA